AAAAGAGGGGGGGGGGGGGGGGGGGGGGGGGGGGGGGGGGGGGGGGGGGTTGGCCGTGGGACTGTGCAGCAGGGAGACAGTGTAAGCCATGGGCTGGTGGGGGCATGGCTAGCCAATACCGTTTGCGACCCAACAAGATTTCCTGGCAGTGAGAGAGGGGGAGAAATGTGCCCAGAGTCCTTATGGGAGGGAGAGGCTGTGGACTCCAAAATCATGTGTGGCGGATAGAGCTACTCGGCAGCAAGTGGATTAAAGAAAAAAAAATGGGCGTTCCATCCCGGGGAGCAGAAAGTGGTTGCGAAGTGTATATACTAGGAGGAAAGAATGCCTTAGGAGTAGAATGGGTGCCAAGTTCTCTCTGCTTGAAGGATGTTATTCTGACCAGCCTCTCTGCCCGTCTCCTCCTCCCTCATGCCTTCAGCTGCAACAGGAAAGGACAATTTGGTCTGTAATCCGACATGAGATTCCCTGTCAGACCCTGAGGAATAGGTGGAAGAAAGGAAGAACTCAGCAGGGGAAGAAAAAGAAGAAGTTTCACAAAGGAAAGCTGTGAACATGAGGAGTTCTCCACAGGTAGCTGGCTTTGGTCTTTTCCTTATATAATCTCGCCCAATCATATTATCCCTCATCTTGTGTGCGTATTTCTCCATCTCTCTCTCTCTCTAGTTACTGCTCTGAAGAAACTCAGGTGGTTTAGAACAGCCTTGGTCTGACATGTGGCAATAAAATTTCTTCTTGCTATGAATCTTGGGAAGGGAATTATGACAGTTTCCCTCTAAATTTTCCTCCCAGCTTCATGATGGATGGAATCTGGGGCTTAATTTTGTGGGGCCTTTCTTTCAACTGCAAGTTCAGCTCCTGAACATATGAATTGATAATGAAGGTGACAGTCCCTTGGCAACACCAGAGGGGAGCTCTTTCACCACACCCCCTGGTAATGGCTTATTCAGATAATTTTTAAGGAAGTTTTGACTATTCTGTAATATTACCCCAACCAGTTTAGATTTTAAGAGGCTGAATCCAGTCTCTAGGGGAATTTAGCTAAATGGCAGGCCTCAGCGAGAGATAATTAGTGAAGGTCTGGCTACCAGTGTTTACGGCGATCTTTCCCTTTAAAAGAGCTCTCAATAACCAAACAGTTGCTTAACTGAAACAGTTGTTCCTTCACCCCAGAACAACAACCAGGTCTTATGACCCTGGGATGAGGAGGAAGGATGATCAGAGGGTGTCTCTCTCAAGTAGCATCTCACCTTTTAGAAACGAAGCACTGGATGTTAGTAAGGGTTTCAGCTCCTTGCTCCCAAAGAGAGCAATCAGAAACAGGTCTGCTCGACAATATATTTTATGCTACCTGCCCTTCGTAAAATTCTGTCCCTATTTTGCCTTTCAGGGAGATAGTCAGGATGCTGCACACACTTTTAACTAACGTGCTAGATTTTTCTGGGTTTCTGCCCCGTCCCCCATGATCTCTAGAACTTAACAGTGAAGTCGTAAGCACAGTTACCTGCAGGAAAGTGGTCTTGGAATTACAGCCAGTGTTAGAGATTCCCGGTTGTTCAGTGGCCTTTGAATTTGCCATTTATTGATATGAAGTTGTCATAATAAAGTAGCATTATTGGTTTCCCAACTTTTCTTAGGACTTGATTTGCAGACAATGGGTTGGAGCCAACCCGCTTTTCTGCTGGTGAAAAAGACTCTTTGTCTGCCCCCTCCCAAATTATATTGGAGATCATAGTAGGTGGGCCAGAGGAGCCTGCAAGATGGAGCTCTTCCACCAGGCTTGCATTTAGGAGCCGCCACCATCACTACTAACCATCACTAGTAACAACTGTAGAGCCCGGTTCCTGGTGAATTATCGACAGCCTGTGCGCGCCGAGTAAAATCAATGCTGGAAATGAGCACCCTATGGTATGCACTCATGCAGGAACGCCATTGTTACGATATTGGAATAACATCGCTAGGACTTTAATATTTAATACTGTATTGTTTTAATGAATTGTTTTAATGGCTTTGGGGATTTGATTGTTTTAATCTGTATTGTACTATGTGTAAGCCACCCTGAGCCTGCTCTGGCGGGGTCGGGCGGGATATAAATGAGAATATAAATAAATAAACTGGAGAAGACTGAATGAGAAAGTTGTCTGGATCCTGCCCATGCACTGCAGCTATCCAGATGGAGTATATATTATGCTGCCTGTCCTTGGTAAAACACTGTCCCTGTTTTGCCTTTGGGGGCAGTGTTCAGGATGCCATCTACATTGTTTTTACTGATGTGTACTAGAGTTCTTCAGGTTTCTGCCCCTTGCCCTGGATCTACAGAAGTTATCACTGCAATCCCTAAGCAGAGTTACCTCCCTCTGAACCCAGTGGGTTTAGAAGGGGGTGACACTGCTTAGGGATTGCAGTGTAGACCACTGAAATCAGGTGTGGGCGAATCTAGCAAAAATGCATTTAAATGCATGCACATGGCAACACCAGAGGGGAGCTCTTTCACCACACCCCCTGGTAATGGCTTATTCAGGCCCCGGTCACATGGAGCATTTGCCGCGCTAAAGATACGGATGATAGGCGGATTTTCCGGGCGTGATCATACCACGACATCTGGGAAGCGTAGTGCTCCCGTGGCTATCCCGTGGCGTCCCACCGAAGTTGCGGACTAAAAAAAACTAGTACCTACGAGGTACTGGTTTCCGGACACCGTGGGGCAAGGGCAGGTGTCTGATCGCATTTCTGGTGGACTCCTGTGGCATCCGGCGCCCGCCAATGTTCCTTGGCAAACAAGGGGTGTTTTTCCCCCCAACTCTCCACAGGATGCGCAAAAGCGCCCAACGGTGCATGCGCACAAACTGCGGTAAAACAAACACCCATTTGCCATGGGAGCGGCGGCTAGCGATTGTTGCTGTGATCGCGCTGTGCCGCTTCTTTGCCGCACTGCTGGATAGCCGTGTGATTGGCACCTCATCCCCAAACCACGGGACCTCGACGGGACATGTGATCGGGTGGCCGCGTGTTATTGTGCTTCGGGGCAAACAGCCACGCTTACCCCCCGCTTTTTCTGGCCCGTGTGACCGGGACCTCAGATAATTTTTAAAGAAGTTTTGACTATTCTGTAATGATACCCCTACCAGTTTAGATTTTAAGAGGCTGAATTCAGTCTCTAGGGGAATTTAGCTAAATGGCAGGCCTCAGCGGGAGATAGAGTATTAGTGAAGGTCACGGTGATCTTTCCCTTTTAAAAGAGCTCTCAATAACCAAACAGTTGCTTAACTGAAACAGTTGTTTTTATTAAAAGAAGTCCTAATAAAATGGACACATACAGAAATAAAATACACATTACAACATACACATAAGTTATGGAAATACAGAAGTGAGCACAAATAATAGGAGGTTCTTGGGGGTTAAAATTACCATTCCAGATGTGCCCAAGTCCAAAGAGAAGAGGCTGTGAACATGGAAAGTGGCTCAAATGAAGTTTGGGGGTGTCCTGTCAGTGGGTGCCCAGGAAAGACACACAGAGCTGTGCCTAGGCAGCTGTTTTTATAGATTATAAAAGGTATCCTGAGGGGCAGGGCTATGGGTCTGAACAAAATAACCAAAAGGTTTCTGATTTTTGATTATGGGTTTCCCAAACCTTAAATGAAAGGTGTGATGTCACCCTCATGGGTATACCCTGGAGGATGTGTGTAGTATTGGTGGCTGATACTATCATTCTAATGCTTCAAAGTTAATAGCTCTTTGGTAACCCGGAGAATAGCTCAGGAAGAGGACCAATGCTCCCTCTAAAGTGTGGGGTCCTGTGAGCAAAAATTCTACTTTGTGAGCTACTGGCATTAAAGTTGTGAGTGAGCGATTTGGCTACTGCATAAATTAGTTTGCTCTGTGAGCCCTCCTTCCTGAGCTGAGAGAAAAATGTGTGAGCCGGAGGCTAAGAAACTGTGAGCTAGCTCACACTAACTCAGCTTAGAGGGAACACTGAAGAGGACAATAAATCTGTTTCCCAGATAAATGTTTATATTTAAAAGGAAGTATGATCCAGGAAGGTAGCCATAAAGGACGGATGAAGGTGTTTTGCAGAGAAATGTTGTCGAAGGAGATTTACACATGAGGAAGGCAAGAGGAGCTTTTCAGAGACAGGAGATCTTATTGCTGGAATGCAGAGAACACTGATACTTACCTGGGTGGGGGGACAAAAGGAGGTTTTCAGAGAAAGGAGATCTTATTGTTGGGGACGGGCTGGAATGCAGAGAACATTGATACTTACCTGGGTGGGGGGAGGCAGATTGCACGCAGACAAGACACACGTTCTGTTTCCACAGCCTCCAGGGCCCATGTTTAGGCAAGCTCCCATGTTCATTTGTGTGTCTGTGCGTGTGCGCGTGTGTCCCCTTCTGGGGCTGTCCACAGACTCAGGAGCAATGTTTGGGGGACCCTGGGCTGATTTTAGGGTTGAGGGTGCCTGTAACAGGTTGCCCTCTGATGCAGGATATCTCGGTGGGGTTACAGTAATGAGCACAACCAGATCCATTGCGGGGTTCAATAATACAATGAGCCAGTTTGGTGTAGTGGTTAAGTGTGTCTGGGAGAACCGGGTTTCATTCCCCACTCCTCCGCTTGCACCTGGCTGGATGACCTTGGGTCAGTCACAAGCTCTGGCACAGCTGTCCTTGAAAAAGAGCCGTTTGTGTCTGAGTTCTCTCAACCCCACCCACCTCACAGGGTGTCTGTTGTGGGGAGGGGAAGGGAAAGGAGTTTGTAAGCCGCTCTGAGACTCCAAGTGAATGGCAGGGTATAAATCCAATCTCTTCTCTTCTTCTTCTTTACTTAAAATAACCCTGAGAATCCTACGCCAGGCAGATTTTGTGTGTCCGTTGTTTGCTATGACCTTGAGCCAATGCAATAAAGGTAAACCATGCCAGGTGGGCTATTGCAGAGTACATGAATAACACGAGAGCTAGCACAGTGCAGTGATTAGAGTGCTGGGCAAGGATGTGGGAGGCTCAGGTTCAAATCTCCACTCGGCCATGGAAGTTCCCGGGGTGACCTTGGGCCAGTCATACTCTCTCAGCCTAACCCACCTCACAGGGTTGTTGTGAGGATAAAATAGAAGAAGGGAGAATGATCCTGTAAGCTGCTTTGGACACCAGGTGGGATATAAATGAAGTAAATTAAAACAATAAGTATGTATGGGAGGGAGACAGCCTTCAGCAATGGTGAAATTGGGTAGGGGAGAGTTCAGGCGACTGTCCCTGATGTGACAGGGAGCATTATGTGTACAGAAAAGTCCCTGTTTTTTCTTCTGTGAAATGTTAGGAGTAAACAGCAGCAACTTTTAGTGCGATGCAATACAAGGAGGTCCGACAATTGTTGAAATCCCTCGGATTTCATTGACAATTTGCTGTTATGCGTTTCTGAAAACAAGTGAATTTATAGGATTATATTTTTTTGGCTTTCTATAGATTCAAAATTGGTCACATGGGCTGTAGGGGTTTCATGTCTCTTTCATTTTCCACCCTCCCTAACATTTTTCCAAATCTTTTTCACTTCTAATATGAAATGTGAATGCTGATAGTTGC